AGACTATGTACTAGCGCTACAAGGGCTAATGCGTCATTCCGACTATACGGAGGCACAAAAGCTGCGGCGCATCTATAAGAACTGCCGAAGCGAATGCCAGCTGTACATTAAACAAACCGAGTTCAACACTCTTGGAGAGTTGGTAAGTCTGGCAGAAGACTACGAGAATATTGTAGCAGAGAAGGAGTCGCAACGAGCATTGCCCCGCGCAATAACCCCGAGACGAAATGAAGAGCGCAACTACACTATCCGAGAGGAGTAGAGAAGGGAGAGGTATACGACGCCAGCGAGACGGCACGATGGAGGCGATTATGCGCCACCTACGGGGCACCAACGTAAAAGCGAAGAATCTAGCCGAGTAAATCCACGAACGGCGTGCAGACGATGCGGCGAGGATGGACATTTCGCCTACGAATGTCGCAACAATATCCAGCAATTCTGTTGGACGTGTGGTCGGCGGAACATTCGAACTTCAGACTGTTGCCGTGGGAAACAAGGACCCCATTCGCGACGAAGAGTGGGGTCTCCAGTAATGCAACCTCAGTCAATGTAACACCAATTCTTAAGCAAGCGGAAGGGCGAGTAATCGCCAGAGCAACAGTGGATGGTAGAGCAGTAATAGCAGCGGTTGATACGGGAGCAACAAGAAGTTTTGTAAGCATTAGAGCAGCGAACACCCTGGGAATCGAGCGGTCACGAAGAGTGAACAAAAGAGTGGTGATGGGAGATGGCAGACCAATAGCGGTCACAGAAGCGATAGAGGCGGTAGTAAAGGTGGGCGATCAAGACCATAGGAGCGAGTTACTCGTCCTACCAGGTTTAGTCGATGACATGGTCCTTGGGACTGACTACCTGGCAAAGGCCAACACAACAGTGAGCTGCTGAGCGCAGAAATTGACGATGAAGGCAGAGGACGACATTCGAACGAAGGCTGCATGTACCACGATGTTAGAGGTGCGCGAAGTAGAGAGAGCTGAGGAAGGCGAAAAGGCTGCAAATGAACAACCCACATCCACCGAGGATACGACGGAAGTCAAAAATTTCTTGAAGAAGGAATTGCTCGCATTCGAGAAGATAACGGGTACGACTAACATCGCCGCCAATAAGATTGTAATGCGGGATGATCGACCAATAAAACAACGCTACTTTCCCAAGAACTCGAAAATGCAGGAGGTAATAAATAGGGAGATCGACGAGTTAATAGAGAAGCAGTGCATCGAGCCTTCCCATAGCCCACTCAGCGCGCCAATCGTGCTCGTAAAGAAGAAAAATGGAAAGTGGAGACTTTGCGTGGACTATCGGCAACTTAACTCGGGATCGGTACCGAATACGTACCCACTCCCACGAATCCAACATATTTTAGACCGCCTGAGAAGCGCTAAATTCATTAGCAGCCTCGACTTGAAGAATGGGTACTGGCAAATCCCGATGGAAGAGAGTAGTAAGGAGTATACTGTGTTCACTGTGCCAGGATGTGGCCTGTTCCAGTGGCGCGTAATGCCGTTCGGGCTACATTCAGCGCCTGCGACGTTTCAACGAGCACTGGACAAAGTCATCGGACCAGAATTGGAACCGCACGCGTTTGCGTATCTGGACGATATTATTATCACGAGTGCGACGCTAGGCCAACACAGGGAACACCTGAAAGAAGTGTTTCGACGATTGCGACAGGCGAACCTCAAGATCAACCCAGAGAAGTGTGAGTTTTTCAAAAAGAGTTTGAAATACCTGGGTCATGTGGTGAGCGAAGAAGGGATATATACTAGCCAGAAATGCGATTGCTTTATAAAAAAGATAACCATTTTTTAATATGAGTGTTTTTATGGTCTAGAAAATAATTTCTACAACTTCACATACGCGGTTTTGTATTTTGCTGATGCGCGGTTTTGCATTTTGTTGATACGCGGTTTTGCACTTTAAACGACGATATGAAGATCTTGCTTAAAGCATCATTTCAAGCTAATTAAAGCAATTGCGCTTATACCTATTTTGGTGAGATCTCTTCATATGTTCATTGCTTCGTTCACAAAAAATAAAATGCTTTAATTTCACGCTTAAGTAGCGATTCTTTATACGTTTAGAAAACGTAATGCTTTCTACCATCTTTAATGAAAATCGATTTTTGAACGAAAAAAACTTTATAGGAAATATAAAATTTTGGCCTATTTAAAAAAGTATCCACATTTATACTGACCGGAAAAAATAAGTATCCCGCAAAAATTCGTCTAAAAATGTATCCAATTGGATCTATTTAGATCCAAACGGCATCCCTGGTAAAGCTCTGTGCAAAGTTTGTCGAATTTTGTAGACGATTATCGATACAAAACCTCAAATGTGTGCGATTCATAAAACGTCGCAAAGTGGCATTTTTGACGAAATGGCAACGTTGCGAAAAAAATGTATGTATCGCAACTCCGGACTATAAATGTAAAATTAAAAAAAAAAAATGTCACGCGTAAGTGAAAAAGGAAAGTTTTTAAAATTATATTTCGAAGCAGCCTAAACGTATATACTTTTTCTTGAATTATTCGGGGACAATAAAATATCATGTGCTTCGCGACTTTGAGTTTGCAATGATTGCCAGTTCAACGGTTATGGCAAGGCGGAAAATTTTGCAACAAATGCGACTTTTGCAAAAACTTTACGACGTTTCATGAATCCCACTACATAAATATAACTCAGTGTAGCAAAGTACGTAATTGCGGAGTGGTGAATTTCAAAATAATTATAATGGGCCTGCGCCAATCAGTAGAAAAGTTCTATCAAGGCGAATTAATATAAGGTGATAGCAGGAGTACAAAAATAAAAATTTACATGTACTTTGTTTTTGCTTTGGCGGCATAAACTGTCAAAATCTGAAAGAGTGTGTGTAGAAATTCAAACAAAATTTTTCAGTTTGATATCAGAAGCCGTGCGCTTAATACCAGTGTTTGCGAAACCACCGGCTACAGCCCTGCCTTCTTAGTGCAAGGACGCGAGCCGCGAGCACCAAAAGCCCTCTATGACGAACAAACTTTCGGTACAGGCCATACGATGACGACACCAGAAGCGAAGGCAACGAAAATGCGAGAGATATTTGAGATGGTAAGGCGAAATCAGCAGACAGCGTCGATCGAGCAAGCGCATCATTACAACTTGCGCAGGAGGAAATGGCGACCAGTGGTAGGTGACCGAGTGCTGGTGAAGGAACATCACCTATCGAAGGCGATGGAAAACTTCGCGGCAAAACTTGCACCGAAGTATGCTGGGCCGTACCGAGTGATGAACTTCGTTTCGCCACTAATCGTCGAATTAGACAAGGTACACAACGGTAAGAGGAGAACAGCACATCTGAGTGAGCTGAAGCCATTTTACGGCGATGAAGAGGCCGACGCGGCAGAGTCACCAAAAATCCTTCTCCGGCATGCACCTGAGCCTAATTCGACGCAAGGCGAAGAATAGGTAAATTTCGGTGATAGACCGAAATGTGATAACTCGGCAATTGCCAAATAGGGGAGCGATTGCCATGAAAAGGAGACCCTAAGGGGAGAGAAGAAGAAGAGAAAATAGGGAAGAAGAAGAGGGAGTTTCAAAAGAAAGAAGACCCCAAGTCCCTACACTCAGGGACTTCACAATTGGCTGTCACATTTAATGAAATTGAATTGTTGAGTTTTTATATTATATATATATATATGCATGTACGTAGAATTTTTAATTTTCCATAATTGTTATTATATATATATACATTAATACATGTATGTAGACCTGAATTGTATTTATCTACTTATATATACACATATTAAATGAATTGTTGGATATATATATTTATATACGTGAAATTGACATACATATGTACATATTTATGTTGAGGGTTGAAGTACATACATACGTACTAATGTAGGAGCAAGTAAAAGGAAATAAGCAAAATGTTAGAAACAATATTGTTAGGATAACTGTCTGCCTGCGTGGAGGACAGTATAAATAGAGCAGCAATTGGAATTAAAAATCACTTCTGGTAGAGTAGTCGTATACTCCGGTCGATCGTGCAAACGCAGATTGGAATGGCTAAGCAACGATTGTGAAGACTAAGTTGCTTAGTAGGTAGTTAAGGTATATGGTGTGACGTGA